TATTTTATTTTATTTTATTTCATTTACTTTATATTATTATTTTTCATAGTTCTTATTATAATTGATTTAATTTAATTTAATTTAATTTAATTTAATTAAATTATTTGATTTATTTTATATTAAAATCAGCAAGTAGGCTCAAACTAAATAAATAACCACATAGAATACCCGCTCGGGTGCTGAACACCACTGCAGCGAACCGCCCTAAAATAGTCTTGGATATGTATAATGGGTGTTTGGACACCGGTCTATTCCCGGAAGTCTGGAAAGAACGGAAGTTAGCCCTTACTAGCAAAGAGAAAAGAAACCCAGACAATCCGTCAGCTTACTGCCTTCCTTTACATGCGTGAAACTGCCGAGAATCTCCTACAAAGACTGCTTTAGCACACCACTGGAGGCCTCTACCTAAAATAATATTATTTCAGTCCTGGAAGATCAACTCTAGGAGCAAACGAAAATACAATCAAGAGCGTCGAAGAAACCCAAAGAGGAAGCTACAAATTTATTGTTCTTCTAGCCATAATAGATGTCCGAAAGGGAGCACTTCTTTGAAAGGACATAGTTTCTCTATACAAAACTAAAGCTGGCCCGCAGATGGAAATTCAAAGTTACTTCGTACTTCTTGAACATTCAGACTTCTTGAACATCAGCTACGACGGCATATTCAATCTGCAAATGCCTGATGACACTTATCTAGGTAGTAATGCTAACGATATTGTCAATATAATTACCGCACGCGATGCAGAAGATACGCGTTGGCAGCTAAATCAGAACGGGTTGATTCCCGCGATTTAAGAGTCGCCACAGAAAAAACTGAGGTACTACTTCTAACGCAACGCATCCCTTTGAAAATGGGCCTGTACACATCCTCAAATAACCTGAGAATGACGAAAATTGTCAACTACTTAGGCATAAAATCGGATACCAGACTAAGTTTCTAGGCCCGAATTCCACACGCTGCAGACTGTTGACCGAAATCGGGAGACCGAACTAGGAAAAGAAAAAGCTCATGACTTCGACAACTGTCAGTATTTTACTTAAGGGAGCAGAAGGCCAGCCGACGAAAGATACTGTCTAAAGGAGAGTTTGTTAGTGCCCTACAAGTGACATATAATATTGATGTGACGACACAATAACTAAGCGGTAAACATTTTTCTTCTATTTAATTTTATACACTCGCATATATATATAATTTGAGTCAATTTCCATTTGTTAAGTGCCAATTCTACTTACTGACGGCATCTTTACATTTTTCTGAAGCGTTTCCGTAATTGTTTTCACATATTTCTTATATTCTACACCGTCACATAGCGCAAGTAGCTGCAGCTTTAGTTTTTGTATGTAGTTCTTTGCCAAAGCCTCTGCCACTGTCAGCTAGTTTTGACAATATGATCAAGGTTCTGTGATAACTACAAATTACGCTAACGTTCTCAGCACAGTATCTAATTATTTTTTAACCTGTGTTATTGTATGTGTCTACAAGCGCCAGTAATGTTATTTTAAAAAAAGAAAAAAATTATTAAAAAAAAATATAAAATATTGCTGTTGTTTTGAATTTAATTATTTTTTTTACAATTTCATTAGCTGTCAACAGCCGCTCAGGCCAGTATCTAATGTCTTTATTTCGGTACTAAGGTTCTAACGCGCCAACGAAATACCCCTGCCACAGCCACAAGTAGCCCAATCAATGTCGTGTATCTGCAGCGTAATTTGATGTAGAACCAGTAGTCATTATTGCCTTCTTTTCTATTCTATTTGTACTTCATAGCGACTAAAATTCTATTCTAACAGCAAAATTAAATATCTACTTAGCGCTCGTCGCTGTTGTGGCAGCAGCTGCTAATGGCCTCAACGTAGTTGTCAGCAGAAATGGCAATTGATTGCTTGTGGGCGGACTGAGACTTAAAGATGGATTGAGGTGTTAGCTGATAGGCCACTGCCACGCGCAACGACCGTCAGCGGTAAGTAAAAATTAAATGAAAAATAATTTAGTTTGAAAATTGTAATTTATTTCAAATATGTTTTTCTAAGATTGAATTTTTTTTTTTTCATTTTTAAATGTGAAAATCTATTTTAAGCCTAAGACTAATAGATTGCTTCCTTAAGCAAACGGCTTTATCTTATCAGGAAATTTAATAAGCCCCTCAGTGTTAACCCTCATGCAGTCACGTTTCCAATTTCTTTTAGCCTCTCTAATTATTTAAATTTCAAATATTAATTTCATGCGGGAAATCATAATTTACATAGTGACTAAGTAGGCATGGCTCTAGTCATTCTTCAAGTTTTAAATTAATTAATATCTATTATTTACTACAAATGTGCATAAGCACGAGTAAATGAGCGTGATGTGGAAGAGATTTGCATACTTCCCGCATCTGTGTCTTCTCATTTCCAATTGAAATTTCATGATTTCTGAGGAATGTTAAAACTGCAAGGCCTTTTTCGTGTAATAAATCTTGTAAATTAGCAAAATATTTATAATAAGCTTAATTACTGTTTTAATCGCTGAGGTGATAATCATTTCTAAGCCTAACGGCACGATGATCCTTCATATGTATATATGTATGTATGTATGTATGAGTATTGGCAATTTAACGCTCATTTTTTGTTTCCGTGTAATTATCATGCATTATTCATAGAAATGCTTTATCAGCAATGTTCCGGAATTAGTTTTAGAAAAACCAATATTGTTAGTAGTATTCCTATAGAATGTAATGGTATTCCAGCTTTTACTTTATCTTTTAGGTCTAGTAAAAAGTAATGCATTATTTTTGTATTAAATTGAGGGCTTTATTTTTTATAGTTAGAATTATTCGATTTATGTCTTATGTGTAAGTACGGTCTTGCTCGATAACACTTTGCCATTTGGAGAGTAAAGTCATTATGCCTCTTTCAAACAAACCCTTTTACATATTGGCAAGTAATTAATCGATTTTCACAAGCTTCTCTACATGCCAGTTTTTCACCAGCCAATCGTCAATCATCATAGGCAGGTAGAGATGTTAATCACTTGATGCGAGGTCTGCACTATTAGATGGATGTCTAAGAACCCTACCCAACCAAGCCCACTGAGTTTCTAACGTGTCACTATCGATATGTTGGGTTTTAACTCAATTATTTTATGAATCAGTCATCAGTGTTGAAATTTAAATATTGGATTATAAAATAAAAAAACCCGCGAGTTTTTATATAGTTTTGAATGATTTTTTCCTAACCAAAAAATTAACCTTAATCAAGCACAAATTTTCCTTTGTTATGTAAGGTCTTTTGCGCTTTTCGGATAACTTCATAATTCCCGCAGTGTAGAACTTCTGTGATTTATCGGCGAAGAAATTATACAAATGATTTTCAGCGTCTCAGTTTTTTACCCTCCATAGAGTTTTGCAACGAGCGATCAGTTGTGTAAGACCCGAGCTATATGGTGGGTGCATCAAAACTTACCAAAACTTCAGTGATTTATGTCGCCTGGCGTTGTCCTGATGGAACACAACACCTTTTCTATTGATCAATTGTAGACACTTTCTATGAAGAGTTTATTGCGAGTTACTCGCAGTTAATTTTTAAGAGTAGAGGTTATAATTTGACCATCTACCAATTCCATCATACACTCAAGTTCACATGGTCTGCTATCGATTCAGGCTTTGAAGTCGTTTATGGAGCGTTACCGGCCTTTAACCATGATTTATTTGCTTGTAATCCTCTGATTTAACCCATTTTGAATTATGCGTGAATAGACGCTTTAGAAATGATTCAATTTTGGCGGAGTAAGAAGCCCTCTGCTGATGGTAATTCGATTAAACAGGTCACTTCCTCTAAAAGAAGCTGGTAGGTAGGCTTCTTCATGGGTTTTTTGACAGATGATTCGAACTCACGATATCTATCATATTCGTCAGATGCATACGTGTTAAATCTGTGTGTTGTCTCATAAAAGTTAGGAAGGGGTTCAGTATAAAGTGTGGATTTGTTGGAAAAACATCAAGATACACGAGGGAAATCAGAAGAAGTGCCGAAGTGCAGCCGAACCCGTCTCTTCTTTAAAATTTTACCAATTATTTAAGTACTGGACGATTAGGTGCATCATAATCTCCGCTTGAAGCGCGAAACATAAACACGTTTGCATCACCATTTTTTTAGTGGGTTTTGTCAAGCATAACATGTTTGGTTTGATAATTAGGTTTGACAATTAAGTTTGCCAGATAAGCTTGACTGTTAAGTTTGACAAATTAGTTTGACAGATGTCAAAATTCATCCCTGTACTGCATACGAAATGAATAACCCTATTCAATTTTTTGTGACTTTCAAGGCAGATTACTAACAAATGTTGACTCATTCCCAAGTACTGCAAAATTCAAATATAAACTCTCTATCCTCCAAGGTTGACATATACATATATGTGTATATATATATTAACTGTAATTAATATTAACGAAATATTAGTGCACTATGAAATTAAGCGTAAATTAATTTAATTAAATTGGTGGCAAAATATTTTATGCCTCTAACGCTGAGTAAGTGTAAGAAAAAGATAACTCAATAAATGACTTTGGTAGTTGACCAAATAAATTATTATTGTTTTTTTAATTATTTTCATTAGTGTCAGTTTTTAATTGTTTTTTTTTTCTACTGAATTAATATACTCACACACATACTTATATTCTAAGAAGTATATACATATGCTTGTAAATCAATTTATAGAGCTTTAACTACGTTGACATTAAAAACTTGAAAAACAAACAAAAAATGTGCAAATTTTTCAATAAAAACCGGAAGCTGCAGTTCTACCAAAAAATAAACATAGAAATAAGAAAAAAAATAATTATAATAATTAATTCAGCACTATAATCAATTAATTAAATCTGCATTAATCCTCTCTAATTCATATGTATGTATGAGCCATAGGTTAAGACGCTTGGAAAATAACACAGTTTAGTAAACGACAGCCACAACACCAGCACATATTTCTATTGACAAAGTTGTCTAATAAACTTGCACAAACTCACCTGACCATCGATGCCAACCAAAAAATAACAACAAGTAAGCAGCCAAATTATCAGCGGCCACGTTAGCCAATTGTGGTTGCACATATTCGAGTTGAGTATCTCCGCCTCTTTTTTTAATTTCTTACAGAATGGTGTTGCGTTACGAAAATCCTCAATTTAACGGTGCAAATGAGGAAATGAGCCAACACTTTCCACGATGTGTGATTAACTAAATATTTTTATTATTACTGATGGTTATTATGTTGTAACGAAGGAGTTCTTTGGGAATCTGTAAATAAAAATAAAGGAAAAAACTTATTAATTTTCGAAAACTCATTTCTGATGAGAAGAAGTATTTAAAAATTAATAAAATAATTTAAATTAAATTTAATGTAGGCAAATTCTAACCATTGAATTTTTCAATTTTAAATAATTGTTCAATTTAAAAAAATAGAGGAAAAAAGTGAGCTAAAATCAAAGAAACTACAACTAAATTAAATTAAATTTGTTTTATTTGAGTTTAATTAAATAAATTGAAACAACATCATATAAAACAAAATAAAATAAAATTAAATAATATAGAATGAAATAAGTAAAAAATTTAATATAATTTAATATAATATAGTATAATGAAATAATAAAAAATTAAATAAATTAAAAAAATTAAATTCAATATAATTAAAATAAAAGTAAAAGAAAAATAAAAAAGGAAATAAAAAAATAAAATAATATAAAGTAAATTAAAATAAAATCCAGTAAAATAAAACAAAAATTAAATTAAATAAAAAAATAAAATAATTAAATACGAAATGAAATAATATAAAATAAAAGAAAGTAAATTAAATTATATTTATTTAAAATAAGAATAAAATTAAATGAAAATCAAATAAAGTAAAGAAAATAACAAAATAAATTGAAATAAAAATTTAATTTAATTAAAAAATAAAATAGTTAAATACGAAACGAAATAATATAAAATAAATTAAATTAAATATATTTAAAATTAAAGTAAAATAAAAAATAACAGAAAATAAAGAAAAAAAATTAAAATAAAGTAAAGTAAAATAAGAATAAAACCAAATGTTATAATAAAATGAAATAAAAAAATTTATGAAAATAAACTAAAATAAATTTTATTAAATAAAATAAAATAAATTAAAATGTAGATGGCGTACACTGTATGCTAATTATGTTAGAACATAGTTGGTTCTGACAAATGATAGCTTAAACCTGTGTATCAAACTTGACTTTAATATTTCAGAAGCCTCCCAGCTAGTTTGCTTACAAACAGAAATAAACTAACCTCGTCATTCTGACCCAACCAATTTTCATAAGTCTATCTCTTCTCCTTCTGGTACTTACAAGCCATTTCATGTATATGAATGGTATCAAAATAAAAACAATTAAAATAAATACAAATGAAACAAAATAACTCAACATAATATAGAAAACAAAAAATAAAAGTAAAAATTAATTAATGAAATAAAATAATTTAAATAAATACATTAGCAAAATTAAATCAAATTAAATAAGTCAAAAAAAAAAATAATTAAAAAATTTAAAAAATGAATGAATATGAAATAAAAAAATAAGAAATAAATAAACTTTAAATATATTTAAATTAATTAAAAAATAAAAAAATAAAATAAAAAAAGTTCATCGCCCGAGCAGGGACTTGAACCCTGGACCCTTGGATTAAAAGTCCAATGCTCTACCGACTGAGCTACCCGGGCACATATCATACCCGTGGCAAATGCCATACTTCAATACAAACTGAATGCACAGATACCCAACAGTAAACAGATGTCGTTTGCCTACGCCAGCTTGAGCGCATGCATACACATAAACGTACGTACGTTTGAGCAGAGAGCACAAAGTTGAAAACAATGAAACATACAAATATGAATAAAAACAGCTGTTACAAAACATAACAGCAACAATTTTAAATAGAACGGTAACACACTGTATGTAGAGAAATTTCTATTTATAAAATTACATACATATATACATATGTACGAAAATTTGTGTAAAGAAATGGATTTGTTTGTGAAGAGAGTAGAAAAACTAAAAATATATTTAGATTATTTCACATTGGTTGTTACATACATATGTACATATGTATATCATTAAATTAGAGTGAAATTGCCTGCTTGCAATACAACTGGCTTCATTTACATTTGTTTGTTAGTGTTTGTATGTATGCAAACGAGTAAAAGTAAGCATTGAAATGTTGTTAAATTCGCTAATTTATGCAGTGTGAATTTGCTAATTAATTGAATTAATCGACACATCTATTGTCACTTCACTTTTTATTAGAGTGAATATTTTTAATCAAGTACCTGTCGGGTATTTAATGGATAATAAAGAGAGAGAATACAAATAAAGCTTCTTTTTACATACAAATTTTTTTATTTACATATAAATTAGACCGAACTTGTTTGTACTAAAAAGTGATTGTGGGTAATTATGGTAAATAAAATAATGATGGCATATAAGATTGTCAGCATTTTTATGATTGAAATAACAAAAAAAAAAAAATTAAGTGTTCTTAAACGTTTAGACTTCCTCTTAATTGTAGGAACTTATTTAATTTAATTTCTATTATTATTATTTTATTTTTTAATTTTATTTTATATTTTAGTGCGAAAATGGCAAAAAAATAAAAACAAGTAAACAAAGTAATTTTTATTGTTATAAATGTATAAGCGGTTGAGAATTGCATTTGGTAATAACTTCAATTAAATTATTCTTTAATTAAAAGTATCTGACTTTGAGCAACTTTTTTCCAGAGGAGATAGCTTACACATAGAAGGTAAAAATTTTGTTTTAATTTGAAAAGTCAGAAATTTGATTTTGAGTCGTTGCACACGCAGATTTTTCGAAATTGTATTATAAAATTACTTTTGAAATAGATACTATACACGTATATCTCCATTTTTACTTTTCACTGGCCTCCAAACAATAAGTTTTTTTTTTGGCTGATGGCAAAGCATATTTATGGGTTGATGTCCACGGAAATGTAAAGACTGACCGCCGTCCAAGAGATGCGGAACAAGAGCTAATGAAGGTGAACGCTTGTGAAATTTACGGCGAAATCTGAAACTACTTCGTTTTCTCGAGTTTGCATTTTACAAGTCATAGTGTTAGCAAAAGGAATATACGTATGTCCGATCAAAGTGATCTAGCCTCTACTTATTTAAACTAAACAATTTGGGCAACAGTATATTAAAATTTTTTTCTCTTGCATCCTGAAGTGAATTTTTTTTACACAAGTGAATTTTTTTTTCAAAACTTCGCCAAATTTGAAATTTTTCTACTTCGGTATTTTTTTAGTTTATATAAAAGTGCATTGCACGACCTCCATAGCCGGCATCGTTTCACGAGCTCAGATAGCAGCCGCTTGAGAAAACCTATCAAAAAACTGGGATATTCCAATATTTTTTATACTAAAAATGGTTTTTTCAAGCTTAAATATAGTACATTATTGTCTGAAAGTTTCGTATATCGCATTCAATTCCTTCCCTTTCAAAAAAATTTGCTAAAAAAAACGCTTTTTTGGATTCTAAAGGAAACTATTGCCTTAAAGATAGATAATGCCTGGAGAGAGCATGTGAATAAAGAAAAAAATTCAAAACTTTAATTCAATGTTACCAAGTAACGAAAAGACTATTAAGCTTGCCAGACTGGTGCTTTGTTACACGGTAAAATGATAAACTGTTAACTTTACCTAAAGAAAATATCCGTGCAAAACTAGCAATTACTTATCAATGTATTAACTCAGCCGATGTGAATACCCCTATTATGTATTCATATTGTTCGAAAATTTGAAGACACCCCCATATGTCTATCCAATTTTACAATATATTTAATTGAGTCAGATCTGTTTAACTTTTGATTCTTGGTTCGACCAACATCGAAAGATATAGGAACTAAATTTTCCTAATTCCGATCGCGCCTCTGCAGAGAATATCAAGTCCTCCGAGTGTGTTTTTGACAAAAAATTGGAGCTCTCTACATAACAATCAGAATCAGAGGCAGAAAAAACTGTAGTACCCACCGTTTGTTGGAAAAACATCAAGGTGTTTACTATAAATTGGAGAAGGATGTCGGCCAAAAATCGCTTCAGCGGTTAGAAAGGGCCAACTATATTGAAACTAAAAACACCGTGAGCCTTGACATTCAACGCAGAAACTCTTTTGTCAAGAGTATTACCTTTACAAACTTTAGACGTCACTCATTATTCCTTACCCACTTTATAACGCCGAAGGATGGACGTTACCAAACAACCAATCAGTAGATATTATAAGTTTCTTTGAAAAGGGTTTTGACATACCCCACAGACGACGGGAATGAGTGGCTGGGTGAGAACCTGGGTGTCATCTTGACATAATTCGACGCATTCATAAACACCATAGTAGTTTATACAGCAACAGCAGGAAAAATATTTGCTCGCCGTTAAAGAATAATAAATCGAGAGGGAACTGACTTCACTTGGTGTCTCCAATTGGCGCAGAACAGCGACGAAAACCAGAAACGACTGAAGTACTAACATTTGCTCGGCTATAATCGCGTAGCGTTGACTACCAAGTTTAGAGGTATAATAATGTTTTGTTAAATAAAATACTCTTAAACAATTCATCAATTTGAAATTATGTCTTTTGTAATATTTGATGAAATTTCCATTCAAGTAATCGCCTAAACTTACATACATAAATTACTGTATTTCAAAAAAAAAAAAAAATGCGTCTTTAATGAAATTGCACAAGCCCACTTCAGAGGCATTTTAATTTTATAGCCGTGCTCTTAGTGATATGTACATATGTACATGTGCATGTACAATTCAAATGTATGTACGCATATAAGAGTTCTGCTGAGCAGACGCTGTCTACGAAGTGCCAAACAAGCTGGTCTTAACTGTTCAAACCTGTTGGCATACAAAATCTTCAAATTTGGTAAGTTTTATACGAAAAACTTGCAGCATTCACGGTGACGCGCGCGTCTACGCATGTGCGGCAAATCAGACAAATTATTGATCAAAATTAGTAAGCAAAATCAAAGCGAAAAAAACTAAAAAAAAAAAAACACTTAAAACCAAAGTGAATAAAAAATTAAATAAAAAATAAATAAAAGCAACAACAAGCGTGGCTTAAGATTACGCGATTAAAATCAAGAGTCTACTTTGCCTGCGTAACATATGTATTGTACTATGTACATGTGTATGTAAGTATGTGCAAATATATACTTTACACCAAATGATGCTGCTGGTTGCAAACGGCAGAAGTGCCTTTA